AAAGTTGATAAAATAAATTAAAAATGTTGTATTGTTCGATACATATGCGTACCGAACCGAAAGCACTGTATCGACGAACGGTTCAATTTCGATACGAGTATCGTTGCACCCCTAATAAGTAGGTGTATTCACCTGCTTATCAGCAGGAGTTCAAAGTGACCCTGTTTTTGTAAATTAATGCCAATTTTAAAAAAATGAAAGTGACCACATTTCATACTAAAGCTTGCATGTATGGGTGTTCCCTTTATAATATTGTGATAAACACGTCATATTAGCATTACTTAGCCTAACTTTAGAAGTAATGCTATTATAACATAGTATTGCATTTTTATTTTATTCCCGTGGACTTGTGAGCAGAGGACCTTCAGTTATCCTAAAAATATCTCATCACAAGCTGCATCTGGGACATGTTGGATCTATTTTTGTTTGCGTAGAGATATTTTTGTCCCTGCAGTTCAAAGGTTGTGGAGATATTTTAATGTTTCAGGAGAGAATGAACGTGATCAGCACTCAGAAGAAGGCTGAATTTAGTAATAAAGTTTACACACATGCTTTTGTTGGAAGGAAAAAAAATATTTAATGTTTTCATTACTGCATAAAATGTTGGCCTTGAAATGTTAAGCTTTTAACATTTTTTTTATCTTGAGGGTGGAAAATGGAACAAAAAATAATCATAATAATAATAATAAAGATCCTGCACCAAATTGATGTGTTTGCAATTGTTTTTTTTGACTTTCAGGTGTTAATTACTGGCACGCTCTGGCACTTTCACATTAAAAAGATATTACAGAGTGTCAGTTTGGGTCAGCAGGAGTTGTCCTAAAGTGCTTTAGAGGCGTGTAGTGTACAAAAGCTGTGATCGTGTGCTGCAAACAATGAGACAAATAACCAAAAACCACGAACAAAAATCCTGAACATTGTTCTTTCTGTCACTGCAGACAGCTGAAGAAGCTGAGCGAGGACAGTCTCACCAAGCAGCCAGAGGAAGTCTTTGATGTCCTGGAGAAGCTGGGTGAAGGGTGAGTCATGTAGCCGTGCAGTCTGAGGCTCACCTCGGTCCTGACAGGAGCAAAGTTTCACTTCGCCTGTATTTATGTGTCATCCTGGTCTGTGTTAGTCATCCTGGTCCTCTCCGTATCTCTGTCCTTGTTTCTGCTTCATTTCATCTCTGTTCCCGTCAGACTTCAGGCTCCGCCCTTCTCTGTTGCCTGTCAACGTAAACATTGCCTCTTCATATCCTGTTTCTCAATGTGCTTCCTGTTCCGAGCGGCTGATTGACTCCTCGCCTGCACGCGTCATAGCTGATTCCAGACACTTCTCAATGATCCTGCAATTAATCACAGTCATTCGGTGCTGCTCGATTTTTGCAATAAAGACGTCTTATTAGTAACACTGGTTTTAATGAAACTATTTCTTTCATGCCCGTTTTCTTTCATGCTCATATCACAGCTTTTTCTCACTCTTGCTTCATCTGTCAAAGTGAGAAAAACTGTTGGTGGGAAAGTAATGAAATAAGTTGAATAGTACACTGATGTTTACTATTGACATCAGTCACTAATTAATGTGTCTGTGAAGTCTTTCCACTGCAGGAACTCGCAGACAGTTTTTGGGTGGCCACACCTTTAAGTGTGGGAACCCCCCGAGGGCTATTTTTAGTGGAGAAAGAGAAGAAGGACCTTTAGGCGGTTACTTGAATTTTGGTTTCCAGCGATTATGAAAACAAAATAATCAGGATAAAAGGTTCACTGATTCTATTCAGTTTTGCTTCAACCCTCTCATATTTTTCCAGTGTTAGAAATGAAGCCCACTGCTCTCCTACACAGAGGCGTGCTTTTCACTTGCTGTCTAGTTAAGCGCCGCACAAGATGACTGAAAGAGTTTATCTAGGGAAAGAAAAAGTTACAAGGTTTCTGAAGGAAGACTTGTGGAAAGATCGTTAACAGGTGCGTTTGTCTCTGGATCGCTGAGCGTCTTTCACCCTGAGCGGAGTGTGTTCCAGTAATACGGTTGGAAAAGCAGGAAAAAGAGGATTTGTTGCTTCTTAGCACTTTACAGCTATTCACGGATCAATATTAATAAACCACAGATTAGCTTTGACCATTTTCCATCCACTGTTGGATCCTTGACTCAGGATTCGTGGGGCTCCTCTGACTTTCCGAGTTGGAAATCCAACTTGAGGGATTGTTCCATTTGAAAAGCCTGACTGGGAACTCGGACATTATGACTTGTATAAGGCCGCTGTTGCCCACCTGCTGGCCGTCATGCAGGTCCTCCGAGGCACCTGAGCTCACAGCTTCTGTTTTGTGCACCTTCACACATCCTGCTGTAAAGGCCAGCACGGACAGACGAGCGTCCCTGAGACTGAAAAAGAAAAAGGCTTCTCTCCTTTTTCAGTAAATGTAATCTCCTGTTAAAAGGAAGTTTATAAGTTCAGTAACTGTCTGTGTTTAAGTTGAATGATTATATTAAATCATGCACAGTGAAATATTGACTAAAATCATTTTAATTCTGTTACAATCGAGGAGCCTCACCAACTCTTGGGTGTGGCTCGATACTGTTTGGTTAAACTTGGAGATAACAACTATCTGCTCATTGATCTCAGTCATTAACAGCCGAAAGAACATGTTAAGCCTCTCTTTGTGTTCCTGCAGGTCTTACGGCTGCGTATTTAAGGCTCATTATAAAGAAACAGGGGAGATCGTAGCCATCAAACAAGTTCCTGTGGAGTCCGATCTGCAAGAGATCATCAAGGAGATCTCCATCATGCAGCAGTGTAACAGGTACATGCGTTACTGAACTCGATCCGTGTGCCGTGAAACATAAGAAAAACCCAACGGCAGTAAGAGCATCTCTGGTGTGACTCGGTGTTTTGTGTGGTCAACGTTTTGCCGCTCATCTTTTGCACACGTCCTTCCGCCCTGTAATCGCACACGACCTCAAACTGGATTAAAAAAAGTCCCCCGTAAGAGAACCGTGGGCGCAGATGTTTGGTTAAATTGCTGAAAAGCAGTGAAGCAGATACTTTTATCTCGAAACATTTACAGTAAGTGATTTCAGCCTCTGCGGAAACATTTAGAAAGTTTCATTAAGTTTTTCTGGGGGGGCTTTCCCATAAGGTGACAGCCCCACCCCCACATCAACTGACTGTTGTAAAATTCTCCAGGGGAAACACATTATTATGGTCTGTTTCTCACTGGGAAGTGTACCCGACCTGCAGAGTCTGTGATATAAAAGTGTTTGCTGAGGTTTTTCATTCATTGCTGCAGCAGCTATAAATAGACAAAGTAGCAGCAGTTCCAGAGTGTTCTTCAAACGTGAGCGACACTTTCACTTTGACTCACAAACCTCATCAGGGCCTGGGGATGCTGTACTACAGCCAGTCTGCTGATCTGCACATAATACAAACTGTGATTTCCACTAGAAAAATAGTGAGATCAGTAAAGTATTACATGTAGAATAAAATAAACTTTTAAATTATTGCAGAGTGTCCATATTGTTAACAAACAAAATAATTATTATATAAATAATGAAATATAAAAAAATATAAAATAAATAATAAATAAAATAATAATTGGCCCCCTAGTGGCCAATCTAACAAACTACAACAGAAATGACCAGCCACCCTCTGATTAATGAAATAAGTTGGTATCGGTTCATGGTATCGGTTAACTTTTACGAGTATGAGTACACACACATTTTACAGTATCGGCCCCGATACCCGATACCAGTATCGGTGCATCCCTAATTACAATATTTCATCAACCTCAGAGATTCTGTGGTAGTTTTAGTCCGTTGTGAGTTAGCACAAAACGAAACACTTTGAAACAATAATAACTAAACGTGAACAAACACTCTGAAACTAACCACAGATGTCTGTAAATTCACTTCACCCCTGTGTGATTGCACCACAACTCAGACGTGAGCTGGCAGTTTCATAAGGTCACATAAGGTCTCCTGCTAATGTTGAGCTCAAATTTAGGAAATAAGTTTGATCAGGGAGAGAATCGTAGCCTGACTGAGCATAAAAGCAACACATTGAATCTCAGACATCTTGAAATAAATGGATGAATGTGTTCTGACTCACCGATGTCCTTGTGTTCAGTCCCCACGTGGTGCGCTACTACGGCAGCTACTTCAAAAACACAGACCTGTGGATCGTCATGGAATATTGTGGCGCTGGGTCCGTCTCTGATATCATCCGAATACGTAACAAGACGGTAATGTAACACCCAGACACACACACACACACACTGACATGTAGTTTGCATGGGGCACAGCGTGTGTGTAAGGCTTCTGCACGACTTCAAGGTTTTTGATAAATGAATGTTAGTCTGATGCATCTCTACGGATTCAGTTTAAGAATATTTAGATGTTCCTCCTCCACATCGGTGCTACGTCTTGTTTGAACATTGCTTTGCATACATGAATCGAATTAATGTTATTTGCGTTTGCCTTGTAGCTCAGAGAAGAGGAGATAGCCACCATCCTTCAGTCCACTCTGAAGGGTCTGGAGTATCTTCACTTCATGAGGAAGATCCACAGAGACATCAAAGCGGGCAACATCCTGCTGAACACGGAGGGTCAGGCCAAACTGGCCGACTTTGGAGTTGCTGGACAGCTCACAGTAAGAGAAAACAATCTGCTACTGTAAATGCATATGATGTGTGTTTGATGTGTTTTAAATGTTTTGTTATATCTGGTTTAATATAGAAAGAAAACACAATTAAACACCAGTAGTTGAATAAAGATGCTATCTGCCCATTGGATGTTGTAGAAGCTTTAACCTTCGATGCTTTACTTTATGTTATTTTCTGTCCATCCTTCCTCAGGACACGATGGCGAAACGAAACACTGTCATCGGCACGCCGTTCTGGATGGCTCCAGAAGTCATACAGGAGATCGGATATAACTGTGTGGCAGATATCTGGTCTCTGGGAATTACAGCTATAGAAATGGC